TTTATAGGCATATGGAGTGAGACTGAGATTCAACTTTATCTGTCTTCTGATGGCAGATCATTGGCCCCAACTCTACCTCAAAAATAGTCTATCTTTTTCTTGCTGGTATAAAATGCTGCTTTTATTATATATTAAATTCCTATATCTTTGGGCCAATTTTTTGGACCCTCTAAACTGTTCCTCTAAACTGTCCACTGATTTGTCTGTTTTTGTGCTGACGTCACACACTTAAGTACTGTGATTTTATAGTAATTTTTACTACCTCTTTGGGCTATTTCCCTCTTGTTACTCTCCTTTCTAGGATTTTCATGACTACTCATATACATTTACTTATAAACTTTAAAATTGATTTTCTAGTTAAAAAAAATCCTGTAGGGGTTTTATTGATGTCACTTTTTAGATTAATTTAGGAAGAATTGATATTTTTATAATGCTTGGCTTTCTTTCATTTTATTTTCTGATTGTTGTTGGTATATAAATAATACTTTGTTGATTTTTAGATACTACGTTTTACTTTCCTACCACTTTACTTAATTAGCTTTTTGTTGATTAGTTTTGCAGCTGATTCTCTTGGATTTCCCAGATCTGCATTGATACCACCTGCAAATGATAATACTCACCTTTTCTTCTCTAATTCCATTTTATTTCTTCCATTCCTTTTTCTTAGCCCATTGCATTGGCAAGTATCTTAGAGTACAGTTAGTTAGTAGACATGTTTGTCTTTTCTGAACTCTTCCCTTGTGAAGCGGCATTTGTAGGCCTGGGCTCCCAATCAGCTCCTCCAGACCATCCCTCCAGGGCCATGCACAAGGTTTGGCACATAGTAGGAATTTTGGAAGTCTTTGCCTAATTGTAAGAGTGATTAGAAAAGAGAGCGGGGCCTGAAAACAATCTTCCTACAATAACGATGATAATAGCTAATATTCATTGAGCCATTCCTATGTACCAGTCACTTTATGTCTCATGTTTGCCCCATAACAAACCCAGTTACCTAGGAACAATTGTGCTGATTTTTTGATGAAGGGTAAACGGAAGCCCCCTTGAGGCTGCATGGCTAGGCAGTGGCAAGCTGGCATCCACACCTGGCATTCCGGCTACAGGCCTGTGTTTTTGACTCCATGATGCTGCTTCTTCCCCGGAGGGTCCAGCAGCAGGGGTGGCGATGGTGGTGGGGTGGTGGCGGTGCCTGGGCAGCGGGGTCTGTCAGCACAGCGACTGGGCCGTCAGAGGCGCGTTCCAATCGCATCTCCTGAACCTCGAGCACCCCGTTTCTGCTGCACTCACTTACTGTGTGGCCTCAGGCCGAGTTCTGGCTTCCCTGAACCTTAGTCCCGACTATAAAGTGGGTGCTGTTCTAGTTCCCCTTTCACTGTGCTGTCAGCACAATTGAGTGTTGACTGCTCGTCAGGTTCTCAGCTCCCTGCTCAGCATTCAAGGCACCGGACTCCTGCTTCCCCTCGCATTGCTCCTCTTGGCGCCTGTAATGATAAAAACAACATCGTGCCTTGTTTATTGAGCACTTATTCTGTGCCCTGCCCATGGACTCTGCCACGTAATTCTCGGATGTTAGGTTTCTCCATTTGAAAGATAAGGAGACTGAGAGGTGAAGTGACTTGTCCAAAAAGATTTAGCTAGTAAGTAGTGGAGCCAGGACTTGAACCCAGGTCTGACTGGGGTCCTTATTCTTACCTCCTAAGCTCCTGGCCTTCCCTCCACCCTTAGCAGAGGTGGAACTGATGTTCTTCAGAGTCGGGAAGGAAGGAGTGGGAATGGCATGACTAAACAGCGGTCTTTTCCGGACCCTTCTGGATGTTGTGAGCACTTGTGTACCTGGAGGGGGGCAGGGGAACTGAAGAAAGGCCTATGCGAAGGCCAGGTGGTGAGAGCCAGCGTGGCGCCCTCTGCAGGGGCCTGTGTGCAAGAGGGACGGCAGCACCGACTCTGGTGCGTTGTCTGTGTGGTTTACAGGGGTACCCCTGCTGGGAGGAGGGTGCGCTGGAGGGCCCTCTTTTGCTGCACCCAGGCCGGGAGAGGGGGGCCTGGCCTGAGGGAATGGAGATAGGGTGGGGGAGGATGCATTTGAGAAAGATAGCGGGGAGGATGGGAAACCAGCCCTGACGGCAACGCGGGGCGGGGGCAGCCTTAGGGAGAGATGCCATGTCAGGGTGGGACCCACTGAGCATGGCGTGTTGGCGACACTGAGGGGGCAGCGCTGGAGGGCGCATCCTGGCACCTCTCATGGGTAGTGATAACTCGGGCCTCTGCCTGGAGCCTGCGGTTGGGGATGGCTCCCCAGAGGAAAGGGGCCTCCTTCCTCTTGGAACCTCAGGCACCCCGGTACAGAGCCCCTGCCACTTCCCCTGGAGCCCCTGGGATCTATTTCTGCCTGGGAGTGTGCAAGTAAGTGGGGGAAGAGATGGGGGTGCTGGCCATTCTCAAATGAGCAGCTCATGGTGACTTGGCGTTTGGGCCCTGAGATGGGGTCGGGCCCCGAGGAAGGAGACTGAGGCCCAGGGGTCAGTCTCTCCCAAGGTCCCATAGCATAGTCGCAGCCCTGCAGGGACTAGATCCCACCTTAAATGTGCTCTCTTTCCTCAAGCACTCTGTACTTTGTCAGAAGCCTGAAACTTCCAGCCTGCTTTAGGAATGGGGCGGGACCGCCCTACCCACTCATGACACCGTCTGCCGAGGGCATCTGGCTGTTCCACGAGAGAGCGGTCCCACGGGTGGGAGGTGGGGCTCATGAGTTCCTCCACTGGACCCCAGGAGCCACCCTTGATTCCTTCCTCCCGTTGTGTTTTCCTGCTTCCACTTTTCATTTGCACTCTTGCTGTGTGACCTCAGGCATGTTCCTCAGCCTCTCTGTGCCTCAATTTCCTCATCAGTAAAATAGGGACACAATTGGTATCTGCCTCCTACATTATCGCTGGGATTTGATGAGTCAGTATTTGCCAGGTGCTTATAACAGGCTCAGTGCTAGGTCGGGGCTTTGGGAGGGTTTGAATATGATACTTGCAGATTGATACTTGGTCTCTAGAACATGAAGCTGCACAAACAAATCAGGATGCAAATCATATGTCTGTGCTCTTCAGTCTTTTATCCATTCTGCGGATATTTCCAGATTTCCTTGTAGGTGCCAGGCCCGTCCTGGTCACTGGGTATATAGAGGTTGATCTACTCTGGTCCTGACTGCAGGGAGCTTACAGTCCAGGGCACAACATGGGTCCCAGTTTACAGTCCGGCTTTCCTACGATGCCAGAAAGAAACGCTTGATCCATGCACTTTCCGCACTGGTTCCCCCAGCAGCCCCATGACGGGGCACCGTTGTTACCGCCAACTGACGGAGCAGGAAGGTGAGGCACAGGGCCCCATGCCAGGGCAGGAGGACTGGGATTCAAACACAGGTAGCCTGTTCTAGGGCGCTGGCTCTCAACCTCGGCCTGCCTGCCTCTCCACAAACACGTGTTACTTGTATAATTAGAATCAACCACAAGGACCAAAACCCCCCACAAAAAAACCCAAACCCCACAAACCAGCCAACCTGGCAATCAGAGGCCCTGGGCCCCCTCAACCTGGTTTTAAAGGCCTCTCTTAGGCTTTTTCGGATGCTCCTGTGGGGAGTGGTCTTCTTGGTTAGTGTGAGAGCTTAGGGGCCAGGAGCTGTCTTTTCGCCTTCATCCCCTTCTGAGGGGGAACGTACATCCCCTTGGTGCTGGAAGAGCTTCCAAGGTCCAGCTCTGACTCTCCTTTTCATTCCACAGCACATCAGCCAAGTACCCTAGCTCCTGTTCTTGGTTACCTCCAGGAACAAGGGGTTCACTCTTCATCAGTTAGTTCATTGTAAAGAAAATCTGGGCTCTTAAAAAGTTCTTCATCTAAAAAAGTCTTTAAATACATTTTTGCAATTTTTATTTCCTCTCAAAAGTCCCACAAACAAGTCCCGTGTTAGGACACGTGCCCTCTGAGGCAGGACCTGGCCAGTTCATCTCGGTGTCCCACTGCAGTGACTAACAGAGGCCTGCTGTACAGTTGGTGCTGTGGATGCTGTACCAGGGAGCACATGTGCTGGGGGTATGGGGCTTGGGACTCAGCCTTCAGGCCTGGGAATGCGGGGAACCAGGTCGGTAGGTCCCACAGGACACCAACTATATGAGTGCTGATGGGCACCATGACCTCAGCGGATTGGCTTGCCATAGAAATTGGCTATTCCTGTCCCCAGGCCCATTGGTCCCTCGGGAGGCCCAGGTGATCCTTTGGGCTATTGAGCAGGTCTCCCCAGGGCCTCCCCAGCCCTACATTCTCTGAGCTGGAGGGACCCCAGGGAGCATGCAGGCCACACCCCCATTGTGTAGCTTTGTGTGGCTGGGCAGGCTGAGGCCCGCAGGGTGCAAGGGACTGGCTGAGGTTTACACAGGGAGTGGGGTCATGGAGCTGGGCTAACCGTCTTGCCTGAGGCCCCAACCAGTCACGGGGACTTTTCCCATCCGAGGGTCCCCAGGGGAAATTCTGGACTTATTCCAGGGCCTGCAGCACCCCCTGGAGAACCGTTGGAACCCTCCTAGCCTGTGTGTCCAGAGTCATGCCAGATCCGTGAAAGGTGACTTGGCAGGGTGACCTGCTGTGTTCCCAGCGCTCCACCTTGCCTCATTCAGTTGTCACAATGACTCCACCATTTTCAGAGGAAGAAATGGGGTCCAGAGAGTAGTCGCATTGCTTGCCTGAGGACACACTACTGATTAGGGGCCGAGCCAGGATCTGAGCTGGGGAGTCTGGCTTCAGAGCCCACCCTGAACAACCTGGGCCCTACCGAGCCTTGCTCTCGCTCATAACATGCTTTGGGAAGGGGGAAGGAGACTTCAGATCTGAGCGGCCCTTACCACTGGGACCGCCAGCATCAGAGCCTGGTAAATCGTGATCCATGAGTCACAGTCATGGCGATTTCTCTTTCTAATTGTCCCCTCACAACAGCCCTGAGAGTTGGCTTTATCCCTGCTTTGCAGATGAGGACGCTGAGGCCCAGAGAGGCCAAGTGACTTGCCTAGGGTCGCGCAGTGGGAAGACGAGGAGCAGGGGCTCCAGGCCACGACCCCTGACTCCACACCTGGTGTTTGCTGAGACCCCAGGCTGCCTCCCAGGCCCTTCTGGGACAGCCCCTGCCTTCCACCAGGTGAGGTGATGACCCATCAGGGCTGCCAAGATGAGGGAGTCGGGGGGCGGTGACCATGATGGGTGGCGAGGCCCTGGCCAGGCTCGGGGGGAGCCAGGGCCAGCGAGGGCCTGCGGATGCGGAAGTGGGAGGCAAAAGGGCGTGGCAGGGCCATGGGCATCGCTGGGGAGTTTTCAGCTTGGTTTTTGGTGTTTCCTGATCTCTAGACAGCCAGATTTCTGGCTCAGAAATCTTTCATTCATCTGTTTATTGAGCACCTACTGTGTGCCACACTCAGTGCTAGGTACTGGGAGCTAGGTACTAGACAGACTAAAAGCCCTTGACAATAATCACATAATTGCATAAATAAAAATTAAATGAAAACTGGGTTATATGTTATCAAGGAGAGGCACATAAGTCACAGGCACTTAAGCCAGTGAGAGGATTTGGGGAACACTCCCAAGGAGGTGGCTGATGAACTGAGAACTGAGGGTGGCATGAGTTACCCTGGTGAACTGTCACAGAAGAGCATTCAGGCAGCGGGAACAGCATGTGCAAAGGCCCTGTGGCCGGGGTGAGCTTCCAGCCATCTCTCCTTTCAGCTGCCTGCTGTGTCGCTGACTTGGTTGCCACTTTTAACATCCTTCCCTCGGTATTAGACATTTCCAGTCCATCATATATTAGCTCAACAAACCCTCAGTGAGCTCTCTCCTATGTGCTAAGTGCCTGGGACATAGACATGACTCAGACACTGTCCCACAAGAGACAGAAACAGTGACTCACAGAGATATGGGAGAGGTTAGGGCTTCTGATTATGAGGTTTCTTTTGTGCTTGGTCCTGTGCCAAGGAAGCCCTCTGTGGGTGACATCATTATTCCCATTTTACAGATGAAGAAACTGAGGCTCTGAAAGGCAACTCATCCAAAGAGGCTAGTACCCCTCTTCGGGCCGCAGATTCCTCATCTGTAGAATGGGTTGGGGTGGAGGCTCTCTAAGGGGCCCGGGTAGCCCTGCCTGCTCCCAGAGTCCCCCTTCACCCCAAGGCCCTCTCTCTTCTCCAGCCAGGACCATGGGCAGCAACAAGAGCAAGCCCAAGGATGCCAGCCAACGGCGCCGTAGCCTGGAGCCTGCTGAGAACGCCCATGGTGGCGGCAGCGGGGGTGCCTTCCCCACCTCCCAGACCCCCAGCAAGCCGGCGTCTGCTGATGGCCACCGAGGCCCCAACACGGCCTTCTCCCCTGCGGCTGCTGAGCCCAAGTTGTTCGGAGGCTTCAACTCCTCAGACACAGTCACCTCCCCGCAGAGGGCGGGGCCCCTGGCTGGTCAGTGGGCCTGGGGGGAAGGATGCCTTCGCCCTGCCTGGCCGGGCCCAGGCTGCTCTGCCTGGAGGGCTGCGTGTCCTGGGGCAGCAACCCCACTTTCTGGGCTGCTGTTTCTTTTGCCCACGAAGGGGGAAGAGACTGTGGGTTACTTGGCCTCGGGGACTCTTTGGGAGTTTCCTGGAGGCTGAGGGTGGGAAGGGCTTTATAAACTGGAAAGTGTGGTGTACAACCCATCAGGTGCACAGAATAAAGGGGTCTAGAGATAAAGGACTGTAGGGGGAAACTGAGGCCCAGAGAGCAGGGGTGGGGGAGCTGCTCAGGGCAGCATGGGAACCAGGATGGAGACTTTGCTCTTTGCTCTGGTCAGTCCAGAGATGGGTCAGGACAGGCGGCTGGTATGTGGCAAAAGGGACCGGGAAAGGTGGGTTGGGGGTGGTTGGGGAGGTGCTGTTTGGAGGGGGGCTTTGGAAGGAAGAACCAAAACTCCTCTTCAGAGGCCCTCCTTTTGCTGAGGTGCGCCCCTCCGCCCTCTGCTGGCACTTTCGGGGTATAGCAACCCAGACAAGAGATGCTTAGAAAGAGGCAGATGTGCTCCTGGAGACACACAGATACATGACACACCAACACTTGTGCTCTCAACCCAATGCACGTACACAGAGCCACACACTCATGGCCACACACACAGAATCAGCAGCCATTCAAAGACACTCATGCAAGATATGTACATATGCTTAGCTGGACACTCTCCCATAGACCCACACAGACCTCGCACATGGAGACACACCAGGGATATGTGGATGTATGTACAACCCCTGGGCACAGACATGTGCCCAGTGCAGATGTGCACAAACAGAGCACATGTGCACATATAAGCTGATGATCCTGGATGAAGACACACATTTAGCCCAAAGCCCTTCAAAGACACACACAGGACACAGACACGTACTTAGGAAGTACATTCACAGACACCCACAGATGCACACATGCAGTGGGAACACAAAAACACACAGAAACATGGGCTCTTATGGAGCCCCGGACACAGACACACACCCAAGTGAGACAACAGACCCACAAACAAACCCATTCATTTGTTCAAGAAATATTTGTGGCCCCTCCCCGGTGTGCCAGGATCCTTCTGGTCTGAGGACACGGCAGTGTGTAAACCAGACAAAGCCCCCGCGGGGGAGAGAAACAAAGCCAGGCGTGTGAACTGTGCGGGGTCTTAGAAGGTTGTAACTGGCAAGAAGGGACAGACTGGCAGGGAGGGAGCTTTGGCAGGTGGGGGGGTGGTGATTGTAATTAAAGTGGGGGACAGAGAAGGCCACTTTGAGGGGACAGTTACCTGCTGCTAAGCTCCCCCCAGGCACATAGAAGCCCCTAGAGAGAGAAGTAGAGCAATCTTCTCGGGGCAGCTTCCTTCATTCACTGGTTCATTCATCCCGCAGTGGTTCCTTGAGCACCTTCTGTGTGTCAGGCTCTGGGAACAAACAAAGATGCCTGCTAGTGGGCGCTTCTGGGTCTATGCAGAAGACAGACATGACACCGATAAGCCAACCCCCAGCATCACCCAGAGCCCAGTGGGGCTCAGACACGAAGAGGCGCACGTTCCTCGTGCACGTCCTCATGGGTGCTCAGGCACATGGACACAGTTGGACACTCATGGAGGCCCTCCCACCCCTGAATGTGACCCTGCCCCTGGACTGGGCTCTGACGGCATGTGGGAGGCCAGTCCCCAGGCCCTGTAGGGGGCAGGGTCCTTCTATCCACCCCTCTCCCCAGCCATGGCCTCTGCCACTCTGATGTGCCCCTTCCCTCTCTGCAGGTGGAGTGACCACTTTTGTGGCTCTCTATGACTATGAGTCACGGACAGAGACTGACTTATCCTTCAAGAAAGGGGAGCGCCTCCAGATTGTCAACAACACGTGAGTGCCCCCTTCCCTGTCATCCCTGGAGACCCCATCCCTTGGGCCCAGCCTTGGGCTAGAGCCACTTCTGAGCATCCCAGACTCAGGGGGCAGCGTGATGGGCGGCAGGCAGAGCCGAGCACCAAAGCTGGCTGAGGGCCAGGCCTCCAGGTGTGATAATAAGGCAAGTGGCGGTGCGTGGGGCTCCGGGAGGTCCCTGGAACTGGGATCTGGGTTCCATAACTGGTCAACAGGGCACAGCACCCTAGGTCCCAGACTCTGCCAAGGGGCATGTGGTCAGGGCAGAACTGGGCCCCAGGCCCAGGACCACGAATAGCGGGGCCTGAAACAGGAGGCTCTGCCCACAGAGGTGCCCTCATTAGTGACTTGGGGCTGGAGAGGCTGGAGCAGCTGGCTGAGCCAGCGTCCAGCTGTAGGGAGAGGAGCCCACAATGGGAGGTTGGGGAATCGTATTGGGCCCCCAGTGTGAGCGTGTCAGTGAAGCAGCAGGACAGGGTATGGAGGGCAGGGCTCCCTGGTGGACATCTCGTTCACCTCCAGGGACTCCAGCCTTGGGGTGGGGCATCCTAGAGCCAAGCTGGCCTGTGGGGGCCCGCGCCAGACCCTGGGGCCTCTGTGGATGGGGAGAGGGGAGGGGGACTCCAGCATTGCGTGGGGGTCATTCTCCTCCTGTCCTCTGCTCTTCTTTCCCTGCCTTGGGCACAGTGGGAGTGAGGTGCCACGCCTGTCCAGGGGGTGCCGGGAAGCCTTTGGGTCATGTGCCCAGGGGTGGGGGCCCGCGGAGGGTTTCAGGGTAGGGTTGGCGTGGGGCTTGCTCAAGCAGGAGTGCCAACAGGGCGGGGCAGAGCCTGCACCTGCTGCATTGCTGCCCTTGGCAGCGCTTGCTGGTCCCCCCACCCCCGTGCCGCCTGGGGACCCCTCCCCCCATTCCTGCCCGCGCTTGCTTCCTCCAGCCCTCTCTCAGCTTCTCCCTCTCTCTGCTTCTCTCTCTCGCTGGCCCTTAGGAGGAAGGTGGATGTCAGGTGTGTACAGACTTTGTGGGCGGGCTGGGCGGGGCGCTTCGCTGGTGGGGGTGGGGCTGCTGCTGCCTGTGGCCGTGTCCCTGCCTGTGGTCTCTGCCTCCCTTGGCTGCCTGCTTCCAGCTTCCCAGCTTCTGTCCTCAACCCCAGCCAGAGTAACCAGGCCCTGACCTTAACCCCAGGCTGAGAATGGGGGTCCTCCCATCGCTGCTCTCACTCCCCATCACCCCTCCTCCCAGCCACCCTGCTAACTCACCTGCTCTTCATTCATTCTGACCCATCAGCCCCTATCGAGTGCCAGCGCATGCACGGTCCCGTGCTGGGCCCAGTGGGGCCTGGCTGGAGGAGGCTTGTCCACGCCTCCCTGGAGCCAGAGTGTGGTCAGGGGCCCGCCCCAGTCCGGGCCAAGCGACAGGCAGAGGGTAGGGCCAGAGTCAGCCCAGGTATTTGGACCTCTCCTGTGCCCCCCTCTGGTGGTGACCACAGGGACTGGGAGGTTCAAGCAGGTCCTTAGAGGAAGACCAGTGAAGTCACGTCGCAAGTGGAGGTAGTGGAAGGCAGCCCCTTGCAGAGGGTGTGGTGCTGGAGGGGGCTGGATGCCTTCGGGGCTGTGGAAGGGCAAGAAGGTTCTAGAGGATAGAGTAGAATTGATCCATGAGTGTCCTCGAAGGCTCGGCTAAGGAGGCTGGACATCTCCAACCTCTCTTGAGTGTGTCTTGCTTGTTCACGCCTCCCTGCCCCTGTGCATGCCGTTCCCTCTGCCTGAAATGCTCCTTGTCCCATCTCTGCCTGGCAAACTCCTGTTCATCCCTCAGGATCCAGCTGAGGACTGCCTTCTCGGGGAGGCAAAAGGGAAAAGAAGTGCCAGGTGCCAGGCCAGGCATTTTTAAGTTGTGTCCTCAAATTTATTCTGCAGCAGTCCCGCCAGGGCTGTGATACGGGGAGGGGGTTTCTCCATTTTGCAAATGAGGCAACTGAGGCTCAGAGACGTGAAGGCCCTTGCCCGAGGTCACACAGCTACCAAACAGCAAAGCCAGGACCGGAACTCGGGCAGCAGCTCTCTCCCCACTGAAGCTGTTCTCCCTGGGGGCGGGGATTTCCCGATGTTCCGTCCCGTTGGGTGTCTGAGGCAGGTGTCACTCCAGTTCTCGCATGGTTTCAGCTGTTTGCATCTGCCTCCCCTCACCCTGAGAGCACCTTGAGGGCTGCTCTCAGGTCTGCCTGGGTCCCCCATCACCTGTTGCTCAGCACACGGCGGGTACCCCGCTGCTACTGGTGAATAAGACAAATGAACAGTAATGAAATACCAGCGTGTATTGTGCTTTGTGTGTGAGCCAGGTTTCGTGCTGAGCGCTGAGTTGCGTTGTTTTATTCATACTTCACCACAGCCCTGGGAAGTGGAAACTCATATTTGCTCCGTTTTGCAGATGAGGAAACTGAGGCCTGGAGAGGTGAAATGACTTGCTCAAGGTCCTACAGCTAGTGGTGGCAGAGCTGGGAGGGGTAGGCATGGCCCACTGCCCTTGTGGGGGGGAGCGTTACGAGTGGAGGTGCAGAGGAGCCAGGAGGAGGGAAGAGGAAGCATCAGGTTGGTGGCTTGGAAGTACTGCAGAGGATCTCAGCCAGCAGCGGTGGGAAGGGCATCTTGTGCGGGGGTCACAGCTTGAGCAAAGGGGTGACTGGAAGGAAGGCTCTGGAAACTGATCCTGCCTTTTTCACCCAGAGTCTGAGATCCGCCCTTACTCCTTCTTCCGCGCACCCCTTCCCTTCCTTTGTCCTGCCTTCTGGGATGGGCCGGGGGGTGTTTGGCCAGCCCTGGGGCTGCCAGAAGGGATGGAGTCCTGTCCATGGGCAGCCCTGGGTGGCAGTGAGGCACCCTGATTGGAGGGTGGGGATGAATTGAGAGCCCCTCCTCCCTTGCAGTACTCAAACTGCTCTTTTGCCTGGGAAGTCAGGGGTGGCCGAGTTCAGGGTTGGCATCAGAGGAAGAGGAGAGATGAAGGGATGACAGGAGGGGCGGTAGTGCTTATTGGAAGCTGGGCCATCCCAATTTGAGGTGTTCGGGTCTCATATCCCACCCACGTGTCCTTCTGCCATTGCTTGGAGCCCATTGTTGTTTAACCCCTGACCCCCCTGCCCTAACCCCTCACCTCCCCCTGTGACTGAGGGACGGTTGAGTCTAGCCTGTGGCTGGTCTGCTTGTTGGGGAGACAGAGAGCTTAGGGAGGAGCCTGCCTGTCGCAGAGTTCGGCCAGGGCTGGCTGGGCCGGGACCTTCACAGCAGGCCTGGAGCTCCCGCCCTCCGCATCTTCATGCCTTGTGGCCCTGGGCCCGAGCATGCTGGGTGCTCTGCTGCCCTGGGTCTGAGAAAGCCCCCTGGGGCCTGTGGGCCGACTGTCCCGAGCCCCGGCCCCAGTGTCTGAGTTTTGGGGTCAGGACCCCTCTGGGTCTGACTCTGGGTTGCTCCCTGAACTTCCCCTTCCCACACCCAGATTCCAGCAGCTGTTTTGGAGGAGCTCCCCATCAGGCACTGACCTCCGCCACCTTGCCCTGGGCGTCCCTCACCGCAGGGCAAGGGATACCTTCCTGCCCTCCTTACTCGACCTGCCCGGGCCCCTCCCTGCTGTCTCCCATGTGCCATGTGCCATGTGCTCAGGCCCCAGGGCCCAGAAACTTGCCTGCGTGGGCTGTGCGTGCTGCCCAAGCTTGCCTGCAATCCCCAACGTGCTTCTCTGACCTGCGTATAAGCCCCCAGACAGGTATAACTTCCCAGGTTCCAAAGCTGCCACAACCCTGATCCACATCCCACCCGGCAGTGCAAAGATTAGGGTCCAAAAAGAGGGTCCTGAGGTTTGGACAGGTGAGATCAGTAGCCTGAGGTCACACAGCTTGTGAACAGCAGTTGGCATGTAAAATTGTAGCTCTGGGACAGCTGGTCCAGTGCCTTGTCCTCTGGCTGCAGGTGGGAAGGTGAGGGGCCAGGCAGGGAATGTCTTACTCTTTTCCATCTTTTCCTTTTTCTTACCCACCTGATAAGGCCCCAGGGGAGGTGCCTAGATTGACCCACTGCTACTTCCAAGGCTGGCTTGGGTTGGTGTCCCTTGGCCACCGCCTGCGACAGGTTTGAGTCTCCCAGACCGTAGACTTGGGAGGATGGCGCTTGATAGCTCCTTTTCGCAGGTGGGTAAACTGAGGCTCAGATGGGACTCACGGGAATTAGCTGACCTGAAGCTGAAGCTGGCGTGATGCTCGCTTATTGACGCTGCTGCAAGAGAGATCCTGTGAAAAAGGAAATAAAAAGTATAATTTCCTTTTTATGGACGAGGAAACTGAGACCCAGAAAGGGTGGGGTACTTGCCCAAGGTCACACAGCAAATCCTTATTGGAGATGGAGTGAGCTGCTTTGGTTAAAAAAAAAAAAAAAAATTTGTGGAGAGTGGGAAGAGGGACACCATTGAGATACAGATTCAATTGTTTTTCTTTTTTTAGCCAAATCAAGATATCAACAGTACATACACATTGAACACCTACTGTGTGCCAGGCTCTGTGCTGGTATTTTACATCCTCAGAGGGAGGTATGTGTATCCCCATCCTACAGATGAGGAAACTGAGGCAGGGCCAAGGTCACACAGCTGCGCGGGTGAGCTGGGCTGGTGCCCGGGGCGGCTGACCCTGGCTCTCAAGCTCGCAGACACCTGTCAAGCGGGGGCCAGGCCGAAGTCGGGCCTCGAGTCCTTCAGTGAGATTGCAGTGCACCTCCCGCCCTGCCCTTGTGAACTGAAACTCCCAGGCTGGGCTGGGAGCCCAAACGCACATACGAGCTGACGTTGGGCAGCTAGAGGCTCTGCCGGCCAAAGTCTGGGTAATGTCAACAGAAGTGAACCCCCATTGCTCCTGGGGGCCCTACTTGGCTGGCCTCCGGGCACAGGCTCTGCCAGTTTTCCCCCAGTTAGTTGGTGGCTGGGGACTCCCCAGAGGCCGATCAGCTGGCGGACTCTGGCTTTGTCAGTCCGCCTCGTTTTGTAGCCTCTGACCCAGATCTTGGCCCAGTGCCCTGCCCCCAGCCCTGCTGCCTCCTCCTTCACCTGCCCCCGGCTTACCCCGGGGTCTCTGAGCCCCCGAGGGCCTGGGGAGGCTGCAGGTGTCCTGAGCCTGCTGTGTCTGCTGCGGGCCCCCACTGCACTGTGGCACTGTGGGTAGGCAGGAGCCTGGGCCACCGAGACCAGCTGCCCCGTTCTCACTCTGGCTCTGCCATCAATTTGCTTTATGGCTTTGGGCAAATCGCGGCCTCTTCTGCGCCTTACTCTCCCCATTGGTGAAGTGAAGTCTCTGGACTGGAAGATCTCAGCTGTTCCCTTGCTCTGTGGCTTTGGGCAAATCTCAGCCCCTCACAGTGCCTTAGTTTCCCCAGCTCTACAAAGGAAATGCTGCATTACTGCAGCCTAGGCGCTGTGTGTCCTTGGGCTGGTCCCTCAACATCTCTGAGCCACGGTTTCCTAATCTGGGGACCGAGGCCTTACCTTCTTCCCTCTCAGGGTGGCCTTGAAGTCAAATGGGACAGACAGGTGTGGGCAGCCCTGGGCAGGTGCACAACAGGAGGTGGATGGAAGTCCTGGGCATGGGAGGGCTCCTCTCCTTGAGGTGGCCCTCGCCCCTTTACTCTCCCTCTCCTGCGGAAACGCCCACGTGAACAGTGTCCCTGCCCGAAGACGCATCAGCGGCGGCACAGCCGAGTCAGCTGCACAGCGTCCATCATGCTGCCTTTACCTCAGTCCATCCAGAAGGGGTGTCCCTACCCCTCTGGTTCAGCCCCCGACTCCCAAGCCCCAGTCTGGGTGCTCACCTATAGTCTCCCAGGTCCTTGGAGAGCTCTGCTAGCCCCATACTCTCCTGGCTTCAAATTCTCCACGTTCAAAATGGACTGAAGCACGTGGGTCAGGGGGAACTCAGAAGAGCCAGCAGCCAGGGGTTCAGGTTCAGATCCAGGCTGTGTGACTGTTGGCAAGTGCCTTTCCCTCTCTGGGCCCGGCGACGGGGTGGGGAGCACATCCTGCGTGCTGTGTGTCTTCTCAGGGTCTCTGTGAGGTCCAAAGGCATCCCTGGATTGAGGCGCTCAGCAGGCTCTCAAGCCCTCCCCTCGCCCCCTGCCGTCAGGAGCCTGGGCCTGGCTGTGTGACCTTGCGGGGGGGCCTTTGCTTCTCTGGCCTCAGCCTTCCCATCTACACAGGAGGAATGGGTGCGAGCTGGACCCTAGTGCCCAGGCAGCCCTTCCCATCGCCCCCACATTCCTCATGGACCCTCTCCCTCTCCCCTTTGGTTGCTTTGGATGTGAGGCCTCTGTGGCTGCCCCCCCATCCCCAGCACCGCCTGGCCGTCCTGCTCTCTCCCTTGCTCTTTCTGCCTCCCCCTCTCACCACCCCCATCTCTGCCTCTTCTTTCCTGTTGGGCTCTCGCTTTCTCCTCTCTCCTCTGTGTCTCTGGACCCCCGCTCCAGCCAGACCTGGTTCACATTCAGATGGCTGCAAAGGTACTTCTCCCCTCCCCACTCCCACCCAGGCCCGGGGACCCGACTGTGGGGAGCGCCTCCTGCCCTGCCCCCATCTCCTCTTCTGCCTTGTGGGGCAATTCGTGTAAAAGTGCCCTGCGCATGGGGGCTCTGCCACCTCAGCCCCCTCCGACATGACTCGCTGTGTGATTTTGGGCAAGTCCCAGCCCCTCTGGCCTCAGTTTCCCCTGTAGGTGGGCAGGCTGCAAGAGGAGGCCCGTAGTTTTCAGCCAAGGAGCCCTTTAGGTGTGACCTGTGATTTGTGATGAAGGCAAGCATTGCACTAGTGTGCAGGGTTGGCACCTGGATTGTCACTGAGCCCCAAAGGGCTACCCCTGCCTCCACCCGGGTCTCACCAGCTCCTAGGATTGGGCTTCCAAATCTCAGGGCTTGGGGAAGCTTTGAAGGTCTGATGTGACATCCGTCTTGGACAGGAACCTTCTCTCCTGTTACAACTTGCTTGCTCTTCAAGGCAAGGAGCCCCCTACCTCACTCTCAAGGTAGCTCTTGGCATCTTCAGGCGGCTTGGTCTATCCAAAGGGAAGCAAGGTGACTTCCCATCCCAGGACTCTGCCCGTGTGAATCCAGGCCTCTGGCTGACCAAGGTCAGTCCTGCCACGGTCCTGGACAAAGCCCGTCTGAGCCCGCTTTGGCCAGTAGGCATCTGGGCCAGGGAGAGGAGGAGTTTCAGGCCTGTGCGGCCTGGCAGGCTGTGAGTGACCCTGCCCCGCTGCTCCCTGTGCCCCACTTGGCCTCCAGGGCTCCCAGCACAGCACCCCTGAAGGTTGCAGGCGCTGGGGCCTACTGCTGATGACCCTCTTCTCCTTTGTTCCTTCCCTCTCCCCTGCTCAGAGAGGGAGACTGGTGGCTAGCCCACTCGCTCAGCACAGGACAGACGGGCTACATCCCCAGCAACTATGTGGCACCCTCCGACTCCATCCAGGCTGAGGAGTGAGTATGGTCTCCAGCCTCCTGCTTACTCACCGTTGTTACCAGCTCGGAGCTTCTCTCTGGGGCCAGGGTGGGAGGTCTGGCCGCTCCGGGCCCCAGCCACATCCTAGGCAGAGGCACTGTGGGTAGGCAGGAGCCTGGGCCACCGAGACCAGCTGCCTCCCCCCCACCCCAGGTGGTACTTCGGCAAGATCACGAGACGGGAGTCAGAGCGGTTACTGCTCAATGCGGAGAACCCGAGAGGGACCTTCTTGGTGCGAGAAAGTGAGACCACGAAAGGTACGAGCTCTCCTGCTGGCCACTGGGGGCTGTCGTTTTGTGGGTTGTGTGAGCTGGGTGTGGCAGGCTGAATAGGAGTTCGGTGTATGGCGTGAGGTGGTAAGAAGCCTCCAGGTGTAGAAAATGACAGGATCAAAGGCTGAGAGGTACGTCTGAGGAACACTAAATCACCTTGGGTGGCCAGAGGTGCAGCAAAAGAGAACACTTGGCCTGCCTGGCCTCATTTTGCTCAGTGAGGGGAGGGCACAGGTTGTCAGGAGGACTGAGGGTCACAAAGCAAAAGGCTTGTTCCCAGGGTGGGCGCTGATACAATGGGCTTCTCCTCTTCCCCTTCTTCGGGGGCCTCTGGGGCGGGACTGGGTCCTGGACCTGGCTTTGCCCTTCCCCCAACAGTCCTGGCCCCTGTTCTTTTGTCCCTTCCCCCAGCAAGGGAATGTGTATGTATCACCCGTATCACCCGCTTTCTCTCCAGCCCCTGTGCAAGTGGGTTGCAGGCGCCCCATCACCATGGCAACGAAGCTGGGCCACTTCCTGTGGGCCTGGGGCTCAGCGGGAGATGGGAAAGCAGATCATGCATGTCACGCATGTGCATTTATGAGCGGTCGTGTGGCTGCGCACGCCATGTGTGGGTCCAGGCCTGTGTGTGCATGTGGGGGAGGAACTGTGAGTTGCTGCGTGGGACTGAATTATTGTGGGTTTGTTTCCATGCCTGGGGGCCTGGGGAATGTGTACCTTTGTACGCATGCAACTGCTGGGCACAGGCATGCCTGCACGTGTGCACGAATGGCCAGGGTTGGCTCCTATGTGCACGGGGCCTGGGCCATCTGCAGCAAGTCATGGTTGCCCCCGGCAGCTTTAGGGACCTGATGTTGAGTCCCAGCTTGGTGCCTGACTGGTGGGTGACCTGGTGCCTAGCTGCTTTCCCGCTCTGGGTCTCCTTTTCCCTTCTTTACACAGATTTTTAACCCCCACCTGAGGATTGTCCAGAGGCCATGGGGACTGGGCTTCTAGCATGGGACTTGTACGCTGCCTCCCAAGATGGCCTTTCTCTGTTCCCTGGAGCTTCTGCCCGCACTGCCCTGCCTCTGGGGCTCAGCCTTGCTCCCGCATGCCACTTTGTTCCCTGATGCCACCGTCTCTAGGGCTCCGGTTAGCAGAGCCTCCTAGCCAGGCCTGCTGGGCAGGAGGAAGCGTTTCCAGCCCAAAGCTTTTCTAGGCTCGAGGAAAGCAGGGAGGGAGCTGTTATGGCTGGCCCAGTGGAGTGTTAGCGCCTAGAGGTCACGCCTAGCTCACGGACTCCTGTCCATGTCTGCCCAGCCTCAGCCAACCACCGGCTCCCGCCTGAGCCTGGAGCCTTCAGGAAGTGCTGGGGCACAGACAGAGCTCCTGAGGGCACACTGAGAGGGGAAGCTGTTAGTTCGGGGACATGCAGCCACTTGGGGACTTTCCTACACTCTCGGCAAGCATTTACTGAGCACCTATCGTGTGCTAGGCCCTCTCAGGTGTAACCTTATTGAATCTTCTGAGCAGCCCTGGGAGTAGCCCCATTGGGCAAAGGAGGAAAATGAAGCCCAGAGAGGGCAAGCGACTTGTTCAGGTCACACAGCTGGGACGCTCTCTCAGGCTTCCGAAGTCTTGCCAGGGCCAAGGGTGTGTGGCAGAGCTTGCCGGCCAGGTGCCCCTTTGCTGACTTGTCCCTGTCTCAGTGGCTGCCCCAAAGCTGTGTGCTCCAAGATAGATTGGACCACACCTGGCTCTGCCGTGGGCCAGGGGCTGCTGACCTGGCTTCCCTCCCTGCTCCTGGGTCTGGCACAGAACCGTGCCAGTGCTGTGGCCTGTGGAGGTGACAGGCATAGTGCTCACGGCTCCCCCTGGCCCTTCCCTACAGGTGCCTACTGCCTCTCAGTGTCCGACTTCGACAACGCCAAGGGCCTCAATGTGAAGCACTACAAGATCCGCAAGCTGGACAGCGGCGGCTTCTACATCACCTCTCGCACCCAGTTCAACAGCCTGCAGCAGCTCGTAGCCTACTACTCCAGTGGGTGCCCCCTCCAACCCGGGTGCAGGCCTCCAGGGGACAGGCAGCTGGGCGGGGGAGAGCTGGCTGCCCGGCCTGGGGCTCAGCCCTCTGAGGGCACTGGGGGGTGGGGTGAGGGGTAGTATCTCAGCCTGGACTGCAGACCCTGAGGAGGGGCTTTGGGGCCAACAAGGGCTGGGGCTTCAGTTATGCTGGGGATGTGTGGCTCTGCCCTCCTCCCTGTTCTTTTCCCTGCCCCTTCTTCCTTTCCCTGTCTTTCCCCCTCACCTCCTCCCTCCCTGTCTCTTTCCTCTTCTTTCCTCCCTGTGCTCTCTTCCTTGTTTCCCCTCAACCCCCCCCCCCCCGTACCCCTCCTCCTTTTTCTCCTCCTCTGCAGCTGGCTGGTGAGGAGGGGGCTGCCTGGAGGAGTGAGCAGGGAAGGGAGGGGCACGGGCTGGTGTCATTTGTCTCTGCAGTCCTAGTACCGGTCTGAACTGGTTACTGGGAGAGGAGGAGGGGGCGGCCAGATTGCCGCAGAGAGAGAAAGAGAGAGAGAGAGAGAGAGAGACAGCCAGAGCGAGTGTGAGCGAGCGCGCGGAGCTCACATGCACAGTCCATGTGTATGTGTGCAATAGTGTGGCTGTCTTGTTGTTGAGGGCTGCCCGGGTGGACCAAAGAGTCACGGGCCCCTGTGAACCCCTGTGGCGGGTCTCTGTGCATGCCTGTGTGGTCGTGGTGTGTAGCTCTGGCCTCTGTGTGCAGGTGTGGCCCATTCTGGGAGTGCCTGCTTCTTCCCACCCCATACATCCTCCTCCTCCTGTCTGCCGAGCCTCCTGACACCCTCTAGGACCTGCCACTTCTCTGTCCTCTCAGCCGCTACTACAGTTCATTCTGAACCCTGTTTCCCCAGATCAAAGTCCTCCAGGGGTTATCTGGGAATCTTAGGATAAGCACCCCGGTGTGGTCTCTGAGGCCTTGGGTAGTTTAAACCTGGGGCTCCTCTTCCCCCATTCGCTTCCCTGTGGCCCCCCAGCTCCTCCCACCCAGCAGCTGTTCCTCCCTAAGGACCTTTGCACAGGCACCAGGCTCTGTGCCTTCTGGTCGGAGTGCTGCTCCCTAGTTAACCACTCACCCTCCTGCAGATTCAAGCCCAAGTACCACTTCCTCCGGGAAGCCTTCCAGGACTCTATCCAGCCCACCTGCTGTTGCACACACAGCCCTTCTCTGTCACACATGTGGTCTTGGGAGCTGATTAAGGGAAGCTGGGCTCCCCCGGACTGTGAGCTCCCAGAGGCCAAGGCTCCATTGGACTTGTCCCCCACTGGGTCCCTGGCACCCGCATAGCTGGCCACCCCTTGAAGTCTGGTGAATGAATGGGCGAATGACTCGGTGAGCAGATACATGAGGTCGATGCATGAGGCAGCGTGAGCCTATGTGGGGCGAGGGGCATACACACAGCAAGGGGATCCTGGTGTCCCCGAAGCTTGTGCGCATGCAATGTGTAGGTCCATACACACACACCGCGGGACTGGGGGCCCCAGGGGGACACCAGGCCCGAACCCCACTTCCCTGTTTCCATCTTCAGAACATGCCGATGGCCTGTGCCACCGACTCACCACTGTGTGCCCCACATCCAAGCCACAGACTCAGGGCCTGGCCAAGGACGCCTGGGAGATCCCCCGGGAGTCACTGCGGCTAGAGGTCAAGCTGGGCCAGGGCTGCTTTGGAGAGGTGTGGATGGGTAAGTCCTTGCTCCTACCCCTCGGAGGAGAACGCAGTCCCCTTGGGGGGACTTTGGTGTCCCCACCTGAGAACCAGGCAGATGTACTATCCCATCTGGCAGCTCGAGGCCCCCTTCATCCTCCTTCCCTTTACCACCCAGAGCCTCCTGCGCCTCTGTTTAACAGTGGGCCCTATTTTAAATATGAAGCTCCCCCAGTGGTAGCCGGCACAAGGTGAGGTGCAGCCCCCTCACGCCTCTGCAGAGGGGCTGGGTGTTGCATCTCTGTGGTGCGCTGCTGCATGGTCTGGCCCAGCTCACTCTGAGCCTGATCCTCCCAACTGTAAAATGGGGCTGGTGATAACAGAACCCACCGTGGGGCGGTGCAAGCTCGCTGGCCCAGCATGCCTCCACACGGTAGCTCTTAGCCCCGGGAAGAGAAGCCTCAGCTCGCGGAGGGAGTCCTGGCAAGCGCAGGTCTGGCCTGTTCTGGGCCTGTTACCAATTCCTGTCTAACCCTGGAGAAACTGCAAGACCGTTCTTGAAAATAAACACCACACAGCCCTGACAAAACTCAGGCCCCCTTCCATTGGTTTTTGCTGACACAGGAGTCGCGGGAGGCCGGGGAGGCAGGCATGACAGTTGTGGGCCTGTGGCTTCAGCAGAGGGATCGCAGGGTCCTGTCTTCAAGGTGTTCATCCGAGCCATGGTATTCCCTTGGCATCGCTGTCTCCACTTTTCTCCCTTCAGAGGAAGAGATGATGGTGGAAGGCACTGTGGGGACAAAGGCTTGCAGGCTGGAGTTCAGGCCAAGTCGGGAAGAGAGGGATGTTGGCTGTGAGCTGGGGAGAGGGGAGACGGATGGGAAGCCAACTCCCAGGCACATATGGAAAGCGAGGATGTGAGCAAGCCCTGGAAAAGTCTGTGCATCGGCTGCTCTGTGGCTGCAAGACTCCTACGTGGCTTGGCTGTGCAGTAATCAGTGGGGGAGGGGCTTCTTCCTTGATGCTCCAGGTAGACTTGGGAAGCGCCAGGTACATACCCCGAGATGGGCTGTGCTCGGAGGGCTTGAGCCCCAATACTCAGATGGATGCCCAGAGCCTGAGAGAAATGGGCCCCTCAGCCACGCATCAGAGAAGCCTCAGCCCCAGTCCATTCATTTGCTAGCGCCTGAGGCACCTTCTTTGGGCTGCTGAGAAGGAACATGATCACCCAGGACAGAGCAGTTGAGTTGGAACCATGGTCTCCCATCCCAGGCCAATGTACTGCTTTTTGGGCCATTTCTAATAATCATAGTCCTAACAACAGCTACTCTTTCTTGAGCATGTACCAGAGACCCTTGTGATAGTCCTGGGAGACACAGCCTCTCCTCGTGCCCATTTTACAGGTGGGAACTCTTGAGGCTCAGAATGGCCAGGGAGGTCAGAGCTGAAGTTTGTACCCGGGCAGATCCCTGGGTCCCTGAGGAATGGGAGTGGGGGTCCTCTGAGGCAGCCTGCACCCTTCCCCACACAGGGACCTGGAATGGCACCACCAGAGTGGCCATCAAAACCCTGAAGCCAGGCACAATGTCTCCAGAGGCCTTCCTGCAGGAGGCCCAGGTCATGAAGAAACTGAGGCACGAGAAGCTGGTGCAGCTGTACGCGGTGGTGTCTGAGGAGCCCATCTACATCGTCACGGAGTACATGAGCAAGGGTGAGGCCTGGTGACTGGCACCGGGATGCGGGCAGCCCCCAGCTGGGCGGCCTCTGAGTCAGGGTGCTCTACAGAGCACGTGGGAAGTGTTTTACTGCCCCCCGGATCCAGAGTGTACCTCTTTAGAGGTGGAGTGGACTAGAGCCAACTTCTCGTGTCGATGGAAAGTTAAAGGTTGCCTTTCTTGTTTCATTTTATTTTTAACGATTTCCCACAGTGCATCTTGTCTCCCCTAGTTTGCTGGTTTTCTAAAGCCACGTGCTATTTTGGGGCAGAAAGAGAACTCCCTCCAACCACCGGAGCTGAGCTATATCAAGTCTCTGGCTTGACCTTTACTTAATTTTAAAACGAATGAGTTATTTTCCAAAATTCTACTTTTTGGAGGCATAATTTGTATAAGACACCCATGTTAAGCATCCAGTGCAGTGAGTTTGAACGGATGGAATCTGTGTGTGTTCCTCACTACCAGTAGGCCATAGAAGGTCTCCATCGCTCCAGACAGGTCCCCCGCTCCCCTTTGCAGACAGCACCTTCCAGCTCCAAACTCAGGCAACCACTACATGCTTTCTGTCATCCTAGATTTGTCTTTTCTAGAACTTCATTTAAATAATCTTTTATATCCAAGGTTCTTCCTTGTTGTATGGGATCAGTGGTTTGTTTCTTTTTTATTGCTGAGTAGTATTCCACTCATGGAGGGACCATAGTTTGTGTTCACCTGGAGGTGAGCATTCCACTGTTTCCCATTCTGCTTGCCCTTGAGTGACGAAGATCGAGCGAGACTTTTTTCAGAGATGGGTTTGCAAAGACTCTGCAGTGCCGGTTAAAGTGAGGCCAGCCCGCCCAGTTGGACGGGACCCGGGAATTGCTGTGTCCTAGCTCAGGGGGACAGGGTGGGGGCTAGAGCTTCTTTCTCTCTGCCCAGGGAGTTTGCTGGACTTTCTCAAGGGAGAGACGGGCAAGTACCTGCGGTTGCCTCAACTGGTGGACATGGCTGCTCAGGTGAGTCAGACCCTCTTACACCCTTGGCATCGTACACTCAGATCCACATGGCTCAGCTAGTCTGGCCTCTTGACCGCCCCCTCCGGGAAGCTTGCTTTTGTTACCCTCATTCTCACTGATCTCGCCTCATGTATCACTGGGACCACTTACAGTGCTGCAAGTGGTGGTTCTGGGCAGAGGAAAGAGCCCTAACCTGGGCAGCAGGATAGCAGGATTCGCGGACTTGCTATGGGACTTCAGGCCTCCATTTTCTTCTCTGTGAAGGTCATTTATTCACTCAACAAACATGTATTAGTATGTGTTTGTCCAACAACCATTTTTTCACTTAATCCTTATCACAACCAGGGGAGGTAGGGATGGCTATTACTCCATTTGACAGATGAGAAAACAGGCTCAGAACGGGGACTTGGGACAGCTGGCAGGACCTGGCACATATCTGTCTCTGCAGCATCTGAGGCCTCTTTGTCATGGTCACTCCAACTTCTCTGGCTGCATCTTGTCTTGTGCCTCCCCTTTCCTCTTTGCCCTTTGTCCTGTGTTCCCTCCTGCTGGGCGCTGGCCCTGCTTTTTGTGTCAATACGATTGATTGTAACGTGATTTCACGTGCCTGAAGAACTGGGAAGGGCAGGGTGTTTGGCTGGCTCTCTGTCGTGGGGATGACCCCAGCCCTGGGCACATGCCCTGTGATGTGGGATGGGTGGGAGGTGGCCCCTGAGCCAGGCCCCTGGGTGTTGCCTGCAGATCGCCTCAGGCATGGCATATGTGGAGCGGATGAACTACGTCCACCGGGACCTGCGTGCCGCCAACATCCTGGTGGGCGAGAACCTCGTGTGCAAAGTGGCTGACTTCGGCCTGGCGCGGCTCATCGAAGACAACGAGTACACAGCCCGGCAAGGTGGGCAGGCTCTGGGCGGGCCCCATGTGCCTTGGGGAGTCATGCCCCTTCACTGAGCATCAGTTTCCTTACCTTTCAAGTGGGGAAGGGAATGGTGCTTATCTGGCAGATAGGCACCTATCTGACCTTTCTTGACTTTCCTTGCTCCTGCAGGTGCCAAATTCCCCATCAAGTGGACGGCTCCCGAAGCCGCCCTCTATGGCCGGTTCACCATCAAGTCAGATGTGTGGTCCTTTGGGATCCTGCTGACGGAGCTCACGACAAAGGGACGGGTGCCCTACCCGGGTAAGAGGGTCTCCCACAGCCCATCTTTGGTCCCTGAACCCCTCTCCCCTGGTGACCTTAGACAAGCCTCAGGCCTCCGTTTCCCCATCCGTATAACAAAGAAGTTGAATACCTGATCTTAGGCTCTCACCCCTCAGAGCTTCCAGCCTTGGGAAGAGGCTTACCCACGGTTACACCCACCCTGTCCTGGTGGGAGCCCTGTCTGTTGTCCCCATCAGCTTCCCCCCGTCCCGCTTTCCTCCCCAGAGCCAGCCTTTTCACTTCTCCCTCTGTCCACAGGGATGGTCAACCGCGAGGTGCTGGACCAGGTGGAGCGGGGCTACCGGATGCCCTGCCCCCCGGAGTGCCCCGAGTCCCTGCACGACCTCATGTGCCAGTGCTGGCGGAAGGAGCCGGAGGAGCGGCCCACTTTCGAATACCTGCAGGCCTTCCTGGAGGACTATTTCACGTCCACTGAGCCCCAGTACCAGCCTGGAGAGAACCTATAGGGAGCAGGCTACAGGGCCAGACTGGCTTCTCGGCTTGGATCTGGGGCTGGGTGGCCCCCAGCATGGGCCCTGCCTCCCTCTGCCTGTCTGCCATTGATCTTCTCCGTGGGGCTGAGCTGCCAGTGATGAGGCCTCTCCCCTTTTGTGGCATGGAAGGGCTCGGGCCTGGGGCAGCCCTGAGGGCGGGACCCAAGCCTGGCACAGTGACTGTGTCCTGGCTCCTGCTCAGCCACAGGCCTCCTCCTTGTACCCCCTCCTGGAGCTCTGTGCGTCACGGTGGGAGGACCGGAAAGAAGGGCTGGGGCTGAAGGCTCCCCTTTCCCGGCCTCCGCCTACTTCCTGCATCAGCTCCGTCCCACTTCCGTGCCACCCAGGTCTGTCTCCAGAGCTGGCCAGAGAGCCTTTCCAAAGAAAAGTGGTAGGCCCTTGGCCGTCAGCCTGCCTGATACCCTGCCCCTTGCCGTCCATTTCGGAAACACCCGTTGGCGGAGGCCGCTGGGTCCATACCCCTCTGCCACGGCCCCCAGGCTGGGCAGGCTGAGGCCTAGACTGACTCGACGGTGGGTGGGCTGGGAACCCCCTCAAACCCTGCCCTTTTTCGATCCAGGGGACCTTTAGAGATAATCAATTCCATGTCCCCTGTTACCCATGGGGAAACAGAGTCTGAAGGGAAGTTGTGACTTATCCAATGCCACAGAGCATTTCAGGGTTGAGGTGGGATCAGAACCCGGTGCTCCCTCTGTCTTCCTCAGGAACCAACAAGATTGTCCTCAGCGGCATCATGGACAGACTGTGGCTGCCCAAGGGACAAGGGGCCGGAGGATAGGTTAGAGATAGTAGAGAGCCCTGCTGCTGTTTCCCACTCAGTGGGGCTGTTTTGGGCGGGGGTGGGGGGAGAGTGGAGGTAATGTGGGGCTGAGCTGGGAATGAGAGGTGAAAGTGCAGGTGTGGGGTGGCAGACTTCAATCAGATCATGGGTGGATTTTGACCTTCCGGGCTAGCCGGCCATGGAAGGGAGTGAGCTCCCAGACTCTGGAGGCAATCAAGCAAAAATAGAAGATCTACGTGGATGGGAAGCTCTGGCCCTGGCTTTAGGAGGGAACTCCGGGTTGCCCGTCCTGTTTGTCCTTTGTCATTTCAATGCCTGGCCCCTCCTCCCCTCTCCAAGTGACACCCCTTAACCCCTGAGCAGGGAAAGGAGTGCGTAGGCTGGGGTAAGAGAGGATGAGGGTGTCCCCTGCCATGCCCTGGGACCGGCTGTGCGACCTTGGCTGGACTTTGCTTCTTCTCTTGGCTGCAGCGTCAGCCTCCGTAGGTGGCCACGGCCTCTGCGCTTGCTCTGCTCCCGTCCGGACCCTGTGGCCTAGCATCACATTGCGAGCACAGCCCGGGGCACCGGGAGACTGTTTTGGCCCCAGCTCTGCTGTTCAGGGCGTGTGGCGGCTTTCCCTGGGCCTCAGTGTGCTCCTCTTGAAGGGGGCGGCTGACAGTTTGTGGGCAGCTTGCCAAGGGCCTCTGTGTGTATGTGTGTGTGCACGTGTGTGTTCCTCCATGTGTGTCCATATTTAACATGTAAAAATACCCCTTATTCTGTCCCCCAGACACATTGTACATTTCACCCACAGCCCCCCCTCATAGCAATAACATTCCCACTGCCAGGGATTCTTGAGCCAGCCAGGCCCTGCCAGCAGGGAAGGAGGCCAAGCGGTGCCGGCCTATGGAATTTCAACTTTTCCTTTCATACATGTTTATTACCCAAGTCTTCTGTCTGTCCCTGTGAAGTCTGGGCTCATTGGCAACAGTGAGCTCTCAAATCCCCTTCCAACTGCCCAAGGCCCTTTGTATAAGGTGTCCTAATACTGTCCTTTTTTAAAAACAAACAAATAAATAGTGTTTTGTAGATTTCAGATGACTATGCAGAGGCTGGGGGGCCCCAGCTCTGGGCAGGGCCTGGGCATCCCACATTCCGTGGCCCAGGCTTGGGGGGAGGGGGGAATCCAGAATTGGTTGTAAATACTTTGCATATTGTCTGATTAAAAACAAGCAGACCTCAGAGTTCAGCCAGTGGTTTATTGAGCAGCTCCTGCGTGCTGGAGAGGGAAAGGGGTGGGAGGTAAGGACCGGCTGCGGTCAGAGGGGCCTCTGCGGGGGCGGCACTGGTGCCTGGACGGCCCTGGGCCTGGGCGCCCTGGGCGTGACGTGATCAGATTGGAGACAACTGCTTCGGAATGTGCCCGTGTGTGCACACCTGTGCCTGCGTTTGGGGAGTGAGCGCATTTGGCAGAAGCCTTGCTTCTTGTGTCTGAGGTGCACGAGAGGAAACCCAGGCCTTCCAAAGTATAAGCAGTTCAGAACTCTGATGCCCTGGCTGGATGGTGCAGTGTGCTGTGTGTGGGGGATGGTGACAGTTGACACTCTCGGGGAGCGGTGGGGTTGTGGGGACCGCACGGGGTTGTGGATGTGCTCATGGGGAGATGTGGCTGTGTGTGCGCCATCTGCGTGTTTCCCAGGAGCGCTGGGCTGGGCCAACCAAAGCCGTGGGCACTCTGGAGGGAAACCCAGGACTCTTCCTTCCTCTCCTCCCTGCGCTCCCACCACCAGTGGACACAACCTGGGAAGTTCATTTGCAACAGTCTCTACGAAGAAATTTATTTTACATCGGATCACACACCTATCCGTGAGTCACCTCTGGCCATAATAACACTTTCATTAAAAACGAATGCCAAAATCGGGATATTGCTCTGTTCAGTAGTATTTTCACAAGCCTGAGACCCCATGTGTGTGCTCATGACGTGGGAGCGTGAACAGGAACTTCCACGGAGCATGGATGTGAGTTTGTGGCTGGTCTTCTGTTTGTTCAAGGGGGCGTGTGCTAGGATGTGTGCGCCTTTGTATTCATGGAGGTGTGGCGGGGGGGCTGTTTGCCCACGGCTCTGTGTCTCTACACACACCTGTCCAGCTAGTGTGCTAGCCCCGGGGCTCCTGAGGTGTGTGTGTACCTGGGTATTAATGATATAAAAGTGAACGTGCATGAATTTGTGTGTATTGTGTGGACACATTCAGATCCATCCAGCCTGAACCTGCGGGCCCCTGGGCTGTGGGCTCCAATGGGTGGTTCTGTGGACAAACGTAGGGCGGCAGCATGTGTCTGTGTGGACCCAGGTGGGTTCGGGAGACTCCTGGTGGCCCCCTGTGTCCCGGGGCACAAGGACACGTGTAGGCGGCCCGTGACTCATCTGGGCCCTGGCAGGGACAAAGCATCCGGCTGCGCCTCTGCTGTGGTCAGAATGCGCCTGCGCAGCATCAGTGTCCCCAGCAGGACTGTGCTCTGGAGGCACCGCTGGGAAAGGTCCCACAGCCCCCTTGTCTCCGCTGTCTCCCTATGTTTCTCTGTGGGTCCCTCGGTGCCTTTCTCTGTCCCTCTCTCTGTCTCTCTGTCTCTTCAGCTCTCTCCCACCCTCTTTTCATCTGTGCAGCCCTAGCTCTCTGTCTTGACAATTCTTTTGTCAATTCAGTTCCCTGCCTTAACTTCCCTTCTCCCCATCTTCTCAGTCTTACTCTGCGTCTCTGTGTGCGTCTGATTTCCAATCTTTGTTTCTATACATGTTTCTCTGTTTCTCACTGTTAGTTCCTCTTTTTCTCTGCGCCTCGCTGCTATCTCTCTTCCCTATTCTCTCTCCCTTTCCCTCTCAGATTTTATTCCTTATCAATATCTTGATGCCCCTGACTCTCCCGTAGGCCCTCACACCTCCATACCTTTGCCCGAGCTGTTTCCACTTCTGGGAATGCTCCTTCTTTCCTCTCTGCAACCTGGCAAACTCCTATTCATCCTTCAAAACATCTCAGTGGCCGCCACTGCCTCTGGGAGCTTTCCCCGACCTGCTGAAAGTCGCGGGGTTGCCATGTGGGTCATGCACTGCGCCATCTAGAACGAGAACCTGAAGGAACAGGGCAGTTCTTGCTGACACACCCAGGTCTCGTCCACATGGGAAGGGAGGCCGAGAGCTCCCTCTGAATTGCCCACCTCTCGTCTCTGGCTCCTTCTTTGGGTTTTACTCCCTAACTCTGGGCCTCTGTTCAGTTTGCTTTTGCTCGACTCCTCGTGAGAGAGAGTGCGGAGAGGCAAGAGATGTCCACTCTGCTGGGACCGCCATCTCATGACTGGCCCCCCCGTCCCCGCTGCTCCTCGCACAGCCCTGTCCAGTTTCCCGCTCACACCAGAGGATTGGAGACCCAGGATCCCCGTGTCCCCTCCTCTTCTCTTCCTGATTTTAGTGGTTTTCTCTTATTCTACATGGAGTTTTTTTCTTTTTTTAGAAAATAAGATGCTAACCCCAAGGGGAAAAAATATTCCTTACAGCAGAGTAGGAAAGATACAGAAAAGCACAAAGAAAGACAATCATTTGTTTTCCATACCCCATCTCTCCCGTCTAGAAACATGGGGCATGTTTCTGGGTGTGTGCCTGTCTGATCTTGTCACCTGTTCTCTGCCCATCCACCTCTGTGCCTCTTTGTCTGTCTCTGAATGTGTCTCTGTGTCTCAGTCTTTCCAGCCTCTGGTCCACACTTACTGGCTCTCAGTCTGGGCTGCTGGCCTGTTTCTTTCTTTCTTGATGTAATTAATTAATTGGTTTATTTATTTATTGGGAGAGAGGGAGAGAAACATTGAAGTGAGAGAGAAACATGGATTGGTTGCCTCTCGTACATGCTTCGACCAGGGACCAAACCTGCAACCCAGGCACTTGCCCTGCCTGGGAATTGAACCGGCGACCCTTTGCTTTGTGGAACGATGCCCAATCAACGGATCCACACTAGTCGGGGCTGGCCTGTTTATTCTTTCATACATTCACATGTGAAACTCGTATAGGAGATTTACTCTGGGCGCAGTCCTGCCATCGGGGCCTGTGGACGTGTGAGTGCGCGTGTTTCCCTGTGTGTCTGTGTCTTTCTCAGCCCCTTCCCTACCTCCCTTTCTCCCTGGATTCATTGAGTCTTTCCCACTGTTGCACTTCCCATGTGTGTGCAGCATGTGTTAGGTGTGGATGTGAATAGTGAGTGTGCAGTGTGCTGTGTGGGGGGGTGGCTGCATGTATCATGTGCCGTGTGTGCAGTGGGCCGTGTGTCCCTGCTTCCCCATCTTCCAGGCCGCACGCCCCGCTGCCGTCCTTCCCTTCCTTCATCCTCTGCCCCTTTCATCCCCTTCTGCTCCTGCTCATAAAATTCTGCCCCAGACCTTGTGCGGGAGGCGCATCTGAGCACATGCTGCACGCACACACGTGCACACATGGTCACACTCCTGTTTCATCGTCTGCATTATTTTTTCATCTGTCTTCTTTTCCCATTTTTCTCTTGGGGGCCTCAAAAAACTGTGGTTTGCAGAGAGAAAGGCAGGGACAGACAAACACAGAGATAGAGACGGAACAGCCAGGGAAAAGGGGCATGGATGGGGACGTCGGGGGTCGGGGGGAGCGGCCCGAAGCTGGAGCTCTGGTCCGCCATCCATCCCACTCTCGCTCTCCGCAGCCGTCCCCCCGCTGGGGTCTGCCCATCCAGTGCCCAGATCTGTGCTTCCCTCAGAGTGTGACCCATGGGACCCTGGGTCTCTGTCCCCTGCCAGGCTCTGCCAGTGCATTCATCTGTCCGTGTGCCTTTGCCTGGCTCCCTCGCTGTTTCCCCTGTTTAATGCTGTGGTTTCATTAAATGTCCATCTCACTCCTTGGTCACCTGTCCCCAGGGTGGAGTGTGTGTGTGTCCACGGGTCTGCGTGTCTGTGACTGGCTCTCAATGCCGGTGGGTCTGTCTCTACCTCCCGCGTCCACCTTCCTGCAGCTTTGCTGAATACCCTCTTCCTTTTCCTCCTCTGGCCTTCCCTGACACGCTCTTGGTGTGTGCACGTTGGTGTGCGTGTGTGTCTACCCATGAACCTCTCTCCCACCCCCTTTCCCCTTCCCCAGGGCTCCTGGAACTTGGCCTCTGGGGTGACTTTCTGCTTATTCCTCGTCTTGACCCCTATTCTGCCCCCCATGCTCCCTCCAGCCTTGGCCTCGAGGTCTCCTTCCTGGTTGGTTTCCCTGGTAACCATTCTCTGGAACCTTACTCTCAGCCCCCCAGAACGCAACTCATCTTCTGTCATTCCCACACACCATTCGGCCTCCAGCACTGGGCCATGCATCTTGGGAGGCTCAGCCAGCGCTCACCCACACTCTCCCGTGGCTTTGGATTTCCCCCTCCCCGCTCTGGCCCTGCTCACAGTCCTCTCTCTCTGGTGGAGGAAGCCCCATCTCCCTCACCTGCTGTTCCAGGCCTTTCCAGGCTGGATCCAGCCACCCATGGCACCCTGATTCCTTGATGCAGACCTTGCCCATGCTGCTACTTCTGCTTTTCCTTCAGTCTGGGAATCTCACCTCCCCCAGGAAGGCTTCCTGATTGCCCCTTCCCTGAGTTTCCTTGGTTCTGGTGCTCCCTGCATTAAGGTTCATCCTAAACTTGGCCTTGAGTTGCCCAGTCCCAGGCTGGGCACCCAACCAGGACCCAATTATGACTTTTGTGGGCCCTGCTTAGCTTTGCCTTCATGGACCCCTTCCTCCATAAACAATATTAAAAATTATATTTCATGACAGTATTGGTATATTTAATATTATATATGAAAACATTTCTGTGGCCCCCTAAATGTATTGTGGGCTGTTGAGTTACTGAGCTCCCCTTCTGTGCCAGGCCTGGGCAAATGCTGTTCCTGGCAGGGCCACAGGAGAGTCCTTTGTGCCTTCCACCTCTCTGCATTTTTCTATGGGTCCAGCCTGCCCCCTGCAGGGGTGCCCCCTGCAGTGGTTTGCCCTTGACTTCTGTGTGAGTGCACCAAAGCCAAATAATCTATGTGCCAGGCCCCTCCCCAAACACCTCTGTCTCTGTCCTTCTCTCTCATCCTAGCAGGTTTGCCTCTTTCTCTGGGGTTCCTCCTTCATTCATTCACTCACTCATTTCCCCCAACAAACACCTGGTGTCGGTGTGTCTGCCAGGGACCAGGGACCTGGCTCCCATCTGT